AACATATAAACATGCTAGAAACACAACATACTCGAATATCAGACAATTTGAAGCAATACACAATTAATTATGCATTTAACAAAAATCTGGACAGAAATCAATTTAATTTTTAAAAATAGCTACAGGTCTTTAAAACTCACGAAATTTTTACACAAGCTATAATTTCATCATAAACAGCTCTACCTAAAATTTCAAGTCAATTGGCACAGTATTCAATTTATAGTGAATTTTACTTTTAAAACAGCAATTTCAAACTTCGAAAAATCATAACTACAAATTTACAAGTTCAAACGACACAAGATCAACGCCATTGTGTTCGTAACGATCCTATGTCCCTAAATCCACAGCAACTTAACACTTTTAGCGAGTTCTCGTTCGATTCGCACGAATCGACGAATTTCACATGAAATCACGACAATAATATATAACGAACAATCACAAACACATAAATTCATAATCTCAAATGAACACGAAAGGCACGAACAATTACAATATTATTCACGCAAACATAAACGAGAAGTTGAGACTCGATATCGTTCTCGGGAAACGAGCGAGAAAAGTTCGAACGAAAAAGAACGGCTCGACGGGGCTCGACGGCTTCTCGCGGCTCGCCGAGGAAAGAGCAGCGGCGGTCCTTCTCGGTTGTGGGGTTGCTGCGATGGCCGAGGCGACCCGTCGGAGGTGCTGCTGCGGAGGAGGAGAGCTCGCCAATGGTGCAGGGGCTCACCGGAGGGAGGGCAGCGGCTGAACGAGACCTTCGCGAGGCGCTGCGAGCTTGAGAATGATGGCCTGCTGGTTGGTCGCGCGGGTGCTCGCCGGAAAGGAGACTGTCACGGAAGAGGACGGCTGCGCGGGCGGAGCTTCACGGCGAAGTGGCGGTGCTACTGGACGTGAGGGTTGCTGCCGGTCGCGGGTTGCGAGGAGTTGCTGTAGGCTCGCCGCTGAGGAGTCGCTGCGTGACTGGAGACTGAACTTCGCCGGAAAATTCACGAACGGAGGGGGAAGCTGCTGGTCGAGGGGCGAGATGGGCTCGCGGAGGAGGATGACGGTGCTATTCTGACGTGAAGGAGAAGAAGAATGGGTGGCAGCGGAATTTCACGTCTGGCTCAGGCGAGATGATGATCGGGGAAGACGAGTTGAGAGACGGCGACGGGAAAAATTAACGAGAGAGAGGGATAAGATTTATGGCTGCGCGATTTGTTAGAGAAGGAGATAGATATAGCATTTGTATATATATACAAAATACTAGGTTATGAATTTCTTGTTACACAAGAATAATTAAAAAAAGAAACGCACACACACGGATCCAAAAGGGAGCAAAACCGGTTTTGGCCATTGGACCGGTTCACGACAATAATCGACTTACGGGCTCGGTTTTGGTTCACGCGGGTATTTTCGGGCTCGATTAAATCGCACCATTAATAAATTCGGCTCTCAGGCCCGATTCGAACACACGAAAAATAAATCCAGCACTCAGGCTCGGGTTCTCCGATTACTAATTTCGACAGTTCAAAACGATCGCACGATAAATAAACAAAACTCCGGACAATATAAATTTAATAAGTATATTATTTTAAAATACTAATATTATTAATCAAAATATACAATTAGCAATTAATTGACAATTAGACATATAATATTTAGACATTCAATTTGGCAAGCAATAATTAATAATATCACAATAGTAATAATAATAATAATAATAATAATAATAATAATAATAATAATAATAATAATAATAATAATAATAATAATAATAGTACTTCACATAAACCATAAATAAATGGGGCATTACATTTAGTATCTTTGCAAATAAATATTAGTTAAGTGTAAATATGTGATACGGTTTTGCTATGAAGCCAACAATTGACTCCATAGTAGAACCAACTTTCTATATACAACAAATAAATCTACCATATTAATAAAATTATATTAGTGTTATTTAAATGATATAAATATATTTGATAGTGTTGTGGGTGATTTTGTATTTTAATTAATCTAGTTTATATCGAGCAAGGGGAGTGAGGTTACTTCCTTGGTATTAGGGATTAGTTATCCCAATTAACCCATAACTGACGACAGCTTCTCATATTTAAATCATAATTAACAAACCTATAAAATCCTGTATATGTGCAAATATGTTGGGTGATTTATTATTTTTGTAAATAAATATTAATTAGGTGTAAATATGTGATATAAAATATATTTGATAGTGTAGTGGGTAAGTTTCTCTTTTAACTAGTCTAGTTTATATCCAACAAGGAGAGTGGGGTTACTTCATTGGTATTAGGGATTAGTTATCTCAATTAACCCATAACTGACCGCTACTTCCCATATTTAAATCATAATTAACAAACCTATAAAATCTGGTATATGTGCAAATATGTTGGGTGATTTTAGTATCTTTGCAAATAAACATTAACTAGTACAACACCCGCGTATTACATGGGTGCTTGTTGAAAAATTATTCTTAAATTTTAAAATTAATGAGAAAAATTATTTTAAATTTTATTTACTTTTTTACAAACAATATATATCCCCCTATACTTGTTACTTGTGCGACTTACATGTGTTATGTTATAGTAATTTTTATAACTTATATCATATAACTACTTGAAATATAAATATATTAATTGATAAATTATTTTATTTTTTTAGTATTAAATATAATTTAATTATTGTTATGAAGATAAATATAATTTTTCTTTTTTATACATATAATATGGATGTTTAATCGAAGTTCATCAAGAATATGGTTAATTTGATATATTATATGTATAAAATTGATAAAAAATACAAAAGTTATTAACTTTTAAAATACATTTAATGCATATATTAAGAAATGATATTAAAATGCAATTAATACATGTAACATTACCATAAATAATCAACATATTTGTGGATAATCCGGACCTAATTATTTTTGGATTGGAACTCAAGCCTAATAAAAGCATGTAATTTTGCCACATAAGATTCCGAAGCATGCGAGTCTGCACTTAGGTTCAGCATCGTTCTGAATTAATATAATATAAATAAAGGGGGGAGGATTAGGTTTAAATATGAAATATAAAATATAAAATCTATATATATATAAAGAGGTTGTTGGAAAAATACATTAATAGAAAGTTTGACCAAATAAATATAATGTTTGACTTACTATTAATGGAAAGTTTAAAAAAAATACATATGAATCTTTAGTAACAAAATCTGAATGTTATTTTTTTGGTAACTAATTTGAAGATTCTTATGGCAAAATTTGAATTCTATTTTTTTCGTATCATATTTTATTTTTTTTACCAAAATTTAAATCATATATTTTTTGGTAACAAATTAGGAGATTCTTATGCAGAAAATATGTCAATTATTTATGAAAACAATTCTAAATACAAATTAACTTAAAAACCTTACAAATTGGATACAAATTTTGGAAACAAATAGTTGTATAATTCTTAACCAATTATTCCAATCTTATTGAATAATTTTTTATTTCAGAAAAAAGTGTGTAAATTGGATAAAACCACGTGCAACTTTTTATTTTAGAATAAAATTGATATTTGGACGGGATGCACATTCAAAATTGTGTCCACATTTTTTTGTAACAAAAGCGGTTCATCTTTGATATATAAAAATTAAAAAAATCTTAAAATATCCTTAAATATTTAACTTATTTGAGATCAAGATTTGTTAGGTCTTTTTAAGATTAGTTATGATTTAAAAAAAAAACATTATACAAAATTTCACTCTAAATCTCACATTCACACTTAAGATTTCTATTCCTCTAAAATTTGATCATCTCAAAAGTCTCAAATCTTAAAAAATCTCAAAGTGGTACTCAAAATTCTAAACAAATACATATTATATACCTATATCGTCAATTTATAATTTTTATTTAATACTATTTACCCGTGCATCGCACGGGCCACATACTAGTATCTATACTTATATAATAAGAATTAACATTTATCCAAAATAGTAGGTCAAATTATGGTCAATGTTTGATTTGCATTAAATATTTTCCAAAACTGGTAAGTTTTTGTCATTTTCACACTTCTCATTAATTATGTCCTTTTCACACTTCTCATTAATTATGTCTTTTTCACACATCTAATTAATTCGATAATTACGACATAATTATCATAAATTATTCCATCTGAGCTTTTATCGTTAAAATGTATAGCGATCTGTTATGACCTTATCCCATTGATATTTCCATGAAGCGTCCTTATCGCGTTCTATTTTTTGGTAACCACTCTATATCAATAACCGGATATTTTGTTAATGATAGCACACGTCTTTATTTCAAGGAGCGGATATGCTTTGACCTTTAATTAATCTAAACTGATTGCCTTGACTTTTCAATTTTTAAATTTTTTTTTTTAAAATATTTCGGCTTAAGATTCGGATTTCATTATACAAGTCATCGAATTGTTTGAATGAAAATGAATGAAAAGAACACCAAAAACAGGTAGCCTTATTCATATAACCAATCGTAAAATATTAGTTTGTTGACAAAAAAGAGACAAATCTTAGAAATTCTAAAATATTAGTTTGTTCACCAATCCTAAAATATTAGTTTGTTCACCAAAAATATTAGTTTGATTTTTAGGATTTGTCTCTTTTGAAAATATTAGTTTGTGATAATGAGAAGTTACCAAATAATCAAACTCATAATGTTGTGTACAATGAGGTTTTTAATAATATATGATTGTTACCGAACTTTTTATGATTCAACAATGTTCCTTTGTATTTTAATGATTTCAATTTGGATCCTAATGCACGTGAGGTTATATTATTCTTCTAAATTTTACATTCCGTGCATCGCACGGGTTACGTACTAGTATTTAATTATGTGGTAAGTAATTTTCTCTTTTAGGTAGTCTAGTTTACATGCCAATCACACCCTAAAGCCCCACCTGAAAAAGCGGTTTCGGTATTGCTCCCAAAAAGCCCAAACAGTATTAACCGATTCAGAGTCGGCAGGTGTTCATACTTCAAATTATCATAGCTCCTTCACATACACTGCCTCCTGCGAGTGTTTAGGGTTTCAGTTATGGAACATCACCAAGGGATAGCAGAATATGGTGAGCAGGACGGTGAAGAAATTCCCGACGAATTCCAGTGTTGCGTGTGCCTGTAAGTGCTTTGTTGGAAGGAATGACATTAATCTCACATAGCATTTAGTAAAACTTTTCTTTTTAAATTCTACACAACCCTGTATGATATCGCGATGAAGAAGAAGAAGAAAGAGTTGAACTTGCAGGTTTACCTAGTTGGTTTCTTTACCAAATTTAGGATATTTTATTTTATTTTTTGGTGAGAAAATGCTAATTGAATTTACGTAATATTAGTTCCTTGCAATTTTGTTTTCAACGTAAATGGAGTACTTCATTTTTAAATTAATTTGATGTTTGTTTAAGTTTTCCATATATGATGTCTTGTGAATGAGTAACCCTTTTGAAAAACTATTTTCTTCATTTTGCAGTGATATCCTGTACAAACCAGTGGTCCTAGGTACGAGGGAGGGGATTGGAGAGTAACTCGTACGCTTATTTTTTAGAAAATAAACAAAAAATGAAAGATGGCGGATAATTTTATTCCAATTATTGTTCTGTGTTGAACTAGTAATATCTTTGCCATCTTTACTCTATCTTCCCTTGTTTGCAGCATGTGGTCACATCTCTTGCTTTTGGTGTGTATTCAAAGCCATGGACACTTTCCAAGAGTCACACTGTCCTGTGTGCCGAAACCCATTTAATCATTTCCCCAGAATCTGCAATCTATTGCACACCTTGCTTCTGAAATTATACCCATCTGCCTACAACAGAAGGGAGAGACAAGTGGCAGGTGTGATTCTGATAAATATAACCTTCTTGGTGTTAAATATAATTACATCTGACTTCACAAGAATGCCACTATGTGTTCATTCTTTTAACCTGTACCCACTTGATTCTACTGTAATATGTATATTAGCTTGCAAACTTTTGATTAGCTCCACCATCCTTGAGCTCTAACTTATGCTAACAAATTAGAGAAGTTTGGCAATATGGAATATCTCTTAAGTAATATATGATAGCTGAAGCTAAGCACAGTAAGGTTTGAAGTTGTCAAAATCTGGAAACATAAAAATGCGTGGTGGTTTGTAGCTACGAAGGAAGGAAAGAGACGGGAAGGGTCATAGCATCTTGGGTGAGATATATTAGATATGAAATTACCTTCATTGGTGCATATTGCCTCTGCTGAATAACTTAAGAATGTAATAAACTGGGGAATTTCTTATCCATCTGATGGAATTCTTTAGGGGTGATATATTAAGTACTTAGACTTGACGGAATTAAGACAGAGGTTCATGCATTTTTTCCCAGTCATAATGAAATGTTTCTTGCTCATCCTTTCTCAAGCTAACATTGGGCCGCTAAATATTTACTTTTTATTTTTTTTTTTGTGGTATTCTCATGTTGTATGCTATTCATTCTTGTATCTGTGTTATGGAAGCACAAAATTGATATCTCGAGTTTGAGCTTCCACCTCTTTTATTGATAAGATGAGCGGATGCTACTACCCTTTTTGATATTATAATAGTTTCTAGCATATTTTTTATGATAGAAGGGTAAATATGGCAAACCAATTTCCCTTCCGTGAATCTGGTAACGGGCTGTAAAACTGTGTCTTAGACTTTTAGTCTCAGGGATTTCCAGATCATATCGTTCATGATACTCATTGTTGTTCGAGAATTTACTTTCCTAAATAAAATGTGCCAATTAATCGGTGGAAACACTTCAACAAGCCTATGTGCCTTCTACTGGAGGCACAAGAGAATGTTTACATAACATGTCTCATGTCTTCCGTAACCACAATATAGATTATTTACTATGTGCCAATTGGTTGATATGGTTATTTACCATGTATTAAGATGGATGTGAGGAAATGAAGAGACTTATTTAAATGCCGTGTGGAATCGTTTTTGCATCTATAAATCCGAAACAATAATGAGGGACAAATAATAGCTTGTTTAATCTAATACATGCATACGACCAATAATTTATGGAATAATCCTTGAATGTCTAGCATGTAACTCATTGTTTTGCCAACTTATTCAAAAATCTCATGGGTATAATCTTTATAATGTCAAATAGATACTAATAAGCTTGACAGTTGATGCACAAAACTAAAGCTATATTTTTTGAGAGCTTGACATGACTATTAGTTGAAAATAGTTCTCTGTGTAGCTTATGTTGTATAATCTTATTTATGTTGTGATGGACTTGACCAGACATAATCTTCTTATATACGTCCCTCACCTCAACTCAATAGTGAAAAAGAGTATAGTATTGCTAAGGGGACGCTTGGATATAAATTTTTTCAAAAACCAATCATTTTTAACCAATCACTTTTTTTAACTCAACCCCACTATACTCAATATTATCAATATAATTAAATAATACCACTGAATCATTCTTACACGTTACATCAACTTTAATTCAATATTCAGTCACTCACATAATAATTTTAACTAATCATCACTTCACATCGTCTCTCTCCTACACTTTACATCAGATCAAGATTATTTTAACATAAACTCAGAAACCCACTAACAACTAACCATATCACTTTTTGAAAAATTAGCCATACTAAACTAAAACATCCAAACAAAACCAAAAAAATTTATATCCAAGCGTTTCCTAAGAGCTTCCTGGGTTCAATAGTATACTTTCTATTGTTTTTATTATGTATATTCTTGATTACTCCAAATTTATGCAGTCTCATTTCTCGTTCTGGAATGAGATTATTCCCTCAATGTTGTTGAGCTTCCTAATCCTCTCTCCCAATTGTTTCAGAAGAAGAAAAACTATATGGGCATGCATCTCCAAAATGTGAGGGTGATACAATTAATTCTCAATTAAGTGAAGAGCTCAGTGCAGGACATTCTCTTCAAGTAGATTCGAACGACACATGTGCAGGTGACCATTCAATTGTTCAACGTTCTTCAGGTAGAACTTCTCCTAGTGGACTTGATGCTACTACTAATCCAACAACATCAAGTTCATATAAGATCGTCCATAATGCCAATGATTCTGTTGGACAAAGCAACCAGGTCCTTTTGACCGACTTACAATGTGCTGTTTGCAAAGAACTATTATGCCGTCCCGTCGTTCTCAATTGTGGCCATGGTATGATGACATCACATGCAGTAATGAAGAGTATATCATTTTTACATAGTTGTTGATTGTATTTTTTTTTTTAATTTGTTTTCTAACAGTTTATTGTGAGGCTTGCATTGATCCACACGACAATGTCTGCAAATGTCCAGTTTGTGAAAGTGCACATCCGAATGGGATCCCGAGATTGTGCCTAATTCTAGAGCACTTCCTTGAGGTACATTTTCCTGAAGAGTATTCGGCTAGAAAAGAATATTCGCGTAAATTTCAGAGTGCCAGTCCTTCAGGAGGTGTGTGCAATTTCTATATCTTGTGCGTTCATATTGTGAATAAAACATGATTCCAAGTCTTGGTGAGTTTGATTTAGTGTCTATTGAAGAAGCTTTTAAAATTATATATACTAGTTCAAGATAAACGTTAAACACAACCAACGAGTGACAATTTATCAGCAACTCGACAAATTGCATTAGCTGAAGGTGTCACAACTTTAATATGAGTACAACTTATCATAAACTAAGTAAATACATTAGCTGAAGTCGTCTCATCTACATTCATGCAAAAACAGTGGCAGTCTAGAGTTATTTTTCTCTTATGCTAGTTATCTTGTCTAAGATGAGTACATATGCTTTTGCGCTTGACAATCCCGAGAATCAGGTGTTATTTGCCACTAAATATGTCAAACAATTCGTTAAACTCAAGAGTTGATAAGAACACTGAATAAAACAACCTTTCCATGGAGCGAAGCTCACAACATGGAGTATATAGCAAATTCTTATATGGTTGCTTTGTTTATTTGTGGGAGCTTCACGCATCCTGCTGTGCTATAAGCCTATAACTATATGCTGGGACACTTTAAATCTAGAAGTTATCTATAACTTCTATTTCTGTTTGATTAAGACTGAAGTTGATTTAATGCAATGCAGATGGGGGCTGAATTTAGTTTAACCTCTCATTTCATTTGCATTTCATTTAAATGCGTTTGTGACCTTTCTGTTATGTCATTGAAAAAGATTTGGTGGAGAAACAAGAGCAGTCTCAGTGTCCACCTCTACTTACAATCGACGATTTATCTCAGTTATCCGACCGTGGAACTAAGTTTCATCCTGGTGCTGGTTGCGACTACTGTGGGGTAGTACTTCCATGCTTTCATCTTCTCATGTTCTCTAGCTTGCCAGCTGTCATTAGTGCATGCTTTCGAATTATGACTTGTCAAAAGTCTGATACTCTTGAATAACTGATTAGACTGTGTTAGTTCCAAATAAATCATCTCCCTCCATCTCTTTTGACTTTCGAATTATGCAATCTTCAGTTTTTTGCAAACTGGTGCACCGATTTGCATATCCCGTACAAACTATATCACAATCTTTTCTGTTTGTTGTTCGACCACATCAACTTTTCTATGACTGTTTGCAACAAACTAAAGATTGTGATATAATTTGCAAAAGTGAAAAGGTCATAATTAAATTGCAACTTCGATAAAGGTTCGTGATATTAGGGGGCAAATTTGCCTTATTATTATTATTATTATGATGTGTCCCATTATCGGAGTACGATACAAATGCAAAGATTGTGTTGAGAAAATAGGGTTCGATCTATGTGAGAGCTGCTACAACACTTCCTCCAAGCTTCCCGGCCGATTTAACCAGCAGCACACTGAGGACCACAAGTTTGAGGTCATCCAGGCGCCGTATCAAAGGAATATAATAATGAGCCTCCCTGATCAATTTGATCTAATTGCTAATAATAGTAATAATAATTCGAGCATCCAAGTAGTTTTTACAGTTCCTCTCTTGCCAAATGATGATGCTTTGGAGAATGGAGTTGAGAGCACAAACTCATCGGACAATAGTTTGCAAGATTTAGAAGATGTGGCATCACCAGATTCCTCCTCAAACAATGGATGAGTATCATGACTCACGCACACAAATCTCGGAGCTTCTAATTATGGAGTAATTATATGGGGTTATTGAGCTTCATGATTTGTGAATTTGGGTAGAGTAAAGATAAAGGAGACTCCAGAGCTAAAAAAATAGTAACTTATAGTGGAACTCTGAAGAATTTGTACTGCGATATTATCACAGTGCTGGCTTGCTATTGAGAGTGGGTGAATATTTGCAAATTGTACTTTTGGAATAATTTATGATTGACATACTAAAGAAGCTAGAGAGATTTTGTACTGCAACATCCACCTGAGCCTACGTAGAACTCACTAGGTCAAAAGCAAAAGGTACTTTTGTGTTTTCTTTTCCTCAAGGACAATTTTAGACCATCTTTAGTTACAAGGTTTACTATGAGCATCTTTATGCAACTTTAATGGAGAGGTTTTGTGAGGTTTGAAATTTTAAAGCTCACAGGTTTACCATTAAATTGAAGTTGAATAAGTTTGAGGTTTGAGATTTTGAACCGGAGTGGTGAATGTAAACCTCTTCAAAAGCTATTAAATAAATAAAGAAATAAAAAAAGAGGGAAAGGATGGATGCAAGTGAAATTTAACACCAAATAGTCCAAATGGAAGTGCATTCTGTTGTAAAGTAGGTGGTGGGTATAACCACCATCAATATTTAATTTTAATTAATGTATATGAATGGCTATTTTGCTCCTGATGTAATTGTATTATTACGATTGTGCCATCAGAAGTTTTCTTATAAATAGGAGCTTCAATTATAGTGAAAATACAACCAAGAGAATATCTTCTCTCTATTCTCTATATTATCTCTATATTTCTCTATAGTATTATAACACGTTATCAACACATAAATATAATTGGCACACGAGAGGAGCTTGATAAAGCTAGCTCATGCCTAAAGACGGAGTTTGAAATGAAAGATTTGGGTAAAACCAAATATTGCCTCGGCCTGCAGATCGAGCATCTCCCTGAAGAAATTTTTGTACACCAGTCAAACTACTTAAAGAGGGTTTTAGAAAAATTCGACATGGATAAATCTCATCCACTTAGCACACCAATGGTTGTCCGATCCCTTGAAGCAGATAAGGACCCATTTAGACCTAAAGAAGATACTGAAGAAATTTAGAACCAGAAGTTCCTTACTTAAGTGCCATTGGCGTGTTACTTTATCTTGCAAATTGCACCAGGGCTGATATTGCATTTGCAGTAAACTTGCTAGCAAGGTTTAGTGCTTCTCCTACAAAGAGACACTGGAATGGTATTAAACATATTTTTAGGTATCTTCAAGGTTCACAAGATCTTGGTTTACTTTATAAAAATAACCAAGATATGACATTGGTGGGATATTCAGATGCTGGCTATATGTCTGATCCCCATAATGCCAGATCTCATACTGGTTATGTTTTTCTTTATGGTGGTACTGCAATACCTTGAAAATCGGTTAAGCAGTCTATGGTTACTACATCTTCAAACCACTCAAATATAATTGCTTTATACGAGACTTCACGAGAATGAGTATGGTTAAGATCTTTAATCCAACATATTCGTGGGTAATATGGAATTACAAAAGATATAACCCCTACTGTAATTTACGAGGACAATGCAGCTTGTGTTTTATAAATGAGTAGTGGGTATGTCAAAGGAAGCATGACAAAACACATTGCTCCAAAATTCTTTTACCCACACGAGCTCCAGAAAAGCGGTGAGATTATTGTACAAAAAGTACGATCTAGCGAGAATTTGGCAGATCTATTCACCAAATCCCTTCCTACATCTACTTTTGAAAAATACATTTATGGTATTGGTATGCGTAAATTGGGAAGACTATTGTCTTCAGGGGGAGGGACAAATTCAAAATAATAACAAAAGATCAGGTCCTGAAGACCAAATGTTGTACTCTTTTTTCCTTGACTGAGGTTTTGTCCCATTGAGTTTTCCCAGCAAGGTTTTTAATGAGGCAACAGTAATATTGCATTCACATGAATAGTGTACTCTTTTTCCTTCTTTAGGATTTTGTCCCACTGGGTTTTTCCTAATAAGGTTTTAACGAGGCATATTCGTGGTATAATGAGGACTACTGGATAATTGATATAATTCCTCGTAATGATAAGAAGACATTGGGGTAGTTGTACTCTTTTTCTTTGGATCAATTTTTTTTTATATAATTAAAATAGTCATTCAAGGAGGAGTGTTGTAAAGTAGGTGGTGGGTATAACCACCATCAATATTTAATTTTAGTTAATGTATAAGAACGACTATTTTGCCTCTGATGTAATTGTATTATTACGATTATGCCATCAGAAGTTTTCCTATAAATAGGAGCTTCAATTATAATGAAAATACAACCAAGAGAATATCTTCTCTCTATTCTCTATATTATCTCTATATTTCTCTTTAGTTTTATAACACATTCCACGCAACATGAGGGGAGTGAGATAGGGGAGGCCCACAACTGACAAATTAATATCCACTACACTCATTTATTGAGAGAGTGGAAATATGTGGGGTCATAAAAAATGAGATTTGTGAGGTTTATGGTTATTGAGAGTTTGTAAGAATAGAGGTTTTGATGATGTGGTCCATTGAAAAATGAAAATGAGGTTTGTGTATTTGTATTGTTAAAGTTGCTTAATGGGTAAGGTTTATAAACCTACTTTTTACATTTCCAATACTCCACATCATCTAAACCTCATTCTTACTCCTAATATCACAAACTTCCAATAACCATAAACCTGACAAACCATCTTTTAGTGGGCCCTGCATGTTGTTTCCCACTTACTTTAGTTTATTTATCAATTTAAATCATATTTACTAAAAACACTACTCATAATTTTTTACAATAACATATTTATTATGTATCATAATAAATATATTTTACGTACAATTAAAATTAAAAAAATTAGCAAAATTATAAGTTTAATAAAATTAGCAAAAATATTACGCATTTGAAAAAATATTATGCATTTCATATTTTAAAAGTATTAGTAAAATTAAAATAATTGCAACTCGTTCTTATTTCAAATATAGTATTACGCATTTAATACCTCATTTTTTTCTCGACAACAATTGCAACTCGTTCATATTTAAAATAATTGTTTTCGTTTTTTTTTCGGGCTGTCAAGTATTTTTTTTTTAATCGAACAATCTCGTTTTACTTTTTTATTTAACGAGCAATGTTTGTAGAAGTTTGTTCTTCTTCGAAGAAATATAGTATAGATCAATTATTTTATTATTTATAGTTAAGTTATTTTATTAGTACTAACATTTAATATTTTATTTTATTAATATCTAAATTAATTATACATATGTTATTTAATTCTCAATATTTTATTGAAAAAGATGGACAAGAATATAGTATAGATCAAATTTTAGTTTACAAAATTTGGTAAATAAATGAGTGATGGCTTTTAAATGTGGGCCCAATACTAGTCACACCAATTCATGCGCGTGAGTTACAATTAATTGATGTTGGCTTTAAAAGTATGCTTGTACTACACTTGCTCCCAATTGCTTACATTTCTTTTTATTTTTTCATATAATATTATAGCTCTATGTTTGCAATACGGGGTTAAGAAATCAAACTAATCACCCTCACCTTTCTAATGGTAAAAGCTATCAGTATGGTGTTTTCAAACCTCATGAAACGCGCCCGTTAAAGTTGTTCTAAACCTAGCTTTTTACATCCCGAAAACTTTACATCATTTAAATCTCATTCTTACTCCTAATATCACAAACTTCCGATTACCATAAACCTCACAAACCTTCTTTTAGTGGGTCCTGTGTGTTTTCCACTTACTTTAATTTATATATCAATTTGATTCATATTTACTAAAAACATTACTCATAATTTTTTATAATAACATATTTATTATATATCATAATAAATATATTACTATAACCACACAAAAAGAACATAGTTCAAATACAAAGCGCAGTTAAACCGAATAAGAACGAAAGCTGAGAGGACTCGGTAGAAGCGGCCTAGAAACCCACATGCGGGTGTAAAAATAACAAAGATTGCCCAATAAACAAAAATAGGGACACAACCACTGCAATAGCCTAGCTATGACTTCATTATGTGGACTGAAACCAGAAAAATAAAAGAGAAACTAAACACACACTTCAAAAACACAACTGCTGCAGAACAACTACAAAGGCTAACTGACCTGGAGAATTCCTGCCATTCAGACAATGCACATCTGACAAGCACTTGGACTGGGATATCTGCATCTTCAAACAGCCATAAGTTTCTGGAGCGCCAAAGCCACCATAGCAAATATGTGGTTAGCTGGATTCTATCCTCCGCAACTTCTAGCTTTCCAATGGTGCATATCTGCCTCCACCAAGAGCTGAAGATGATACCAGGATCAAAAACTCCTTCCTATTGAATAGGACCTGTCTGCCATAGCCTTCTAGCTTTATCACAGAAGAATAAAGTGTGCTCAATCATTTCAGGCCATTCCCCACAACTTTTGCAAATGACATCAAGCCCTTTAGCAATCAGATTAACCTTAACAAGAAGAGTGCCTGCACAGCATTTCCATATGAAGTGTTTGATCTTCCATTGATTTTCAGTTTCCAGGTTTTATCTCTAACAACTTTGATGAGCTTGGAGTTGTTGCTTCCTTCTGGAATGTCAAGACTTTGAACTTTCTTGGATATGAGATGGGAGTAGGTTGATGACACAGTGAATTTCCCTTTTTTTGTCACGGCTCCAGTACAACCTATCCTGCCTTCTTGGATTGAGAGATGTGATTTCCAAAATGGCTCTGCTGTCAGCTTCTCCAAAAACCTGGTTAACCAGCCAAGTGTTCAAACACAAGCCATCTGCACTCATCAATTCTTTGACATATATCAGGTGGCCTCTGGCAATATCAACAAGAGTAGGTCTGGGATTAAGAGAGTGTGGGACCCAATTAATATCATCTATTCTTGTAGATTCACCATTCCTAATCTCAGTTCTAAAGCCAGCAGCAAACACAGATATTGTATCCATCC